CTGCTGTAATTGACACAGATGGAGCTCCATCCATGTCTGGATCTGTCATTGGATTGATAGGGCTTAGTAAATCTGATAAGTGCTTTTCAGAATTTTGGACATTTCATTGTATTATTCATTGTGAGCAAGTGATATCTAAAACACTCAAATTAGATCACGTCATGAAACTTGTCTTAGACACAGTGAATTTCATTTGCACAAATGCACTGAATCATAGTTTCTAAACTTGATGAAAGAAGTTGATGAGGAGGCTTTCCTGACTGACTTTCCGATTCACTGCTTGGTTTGATGGCTCTCAAGAATCAAAGTTTTTTCAAGTTGCTAGAACTAGTTAAACTGTTTTTGGAACAAAAGCAAAGAAGATACTCCGAACTCACAAATCCAGATTGGGTTTTAGATTTAGGTTTTTCTAGCAGACATTATGGCCCATTTTGATAAACTCAATTTAAAATTGCAAGTTGGTGTCTGATCTAATGCAAAGTACATTTGCTTTCAAAAATGAGTTGAAGCTATTTCAGATACAAATAATAAAAAAACTAATACACTTTCCTTCAATGACACAACTTAAAGCCAGGTCAAATGAATATCCAACAGAATAAATGCTTCGGAGCACAGCAAATTATGCAAATGTGATTAATTATCTTCAGTGCAGTTTTGAAGACAGATTCCGGGATCTGCAGCAGAATGTCTAAAGCCGCCTTTAGATACCGACGAGGCCGAATCTCAAATGGAGACAATAGAACTTTTGGAAGATGACAGACTAGAAGTGTACCAAACAAGAAATACCCCAATATCAGAAGTGCTGCCCTGAAACTTCTCAATGCTCAGACATATGAAATCCATTTTGACAGACAGTCACTTAAGAGAACTGCTACAAATTAGCAGAACAGAACATAAACCAAATTTAAAAGGAATTGTTGACAGCAAGGATTGTCAGAAATACCATTAAACAAAAAGTGAGACAATTATAAATTATTTCAATGTTACTATTATTATTATTCATATTTCCAATTCCATGCATGTGTGGCTCTTTAGCAATGTATGTTGTGAAATTCTGACTCCCTCCCCACTGTAGGTTGGCCACCACTGAGCTAGAGGTTTAGCAGAAAATGTTGTTGTTTTTTTTGGACAACTTTTACACTTCCCCTTGTTTATTTGACAAACTACTGACTGTTGTAACCCATGGTTGAGGATCATGCAGGAATGACAGACTGTTATTCCCACAACAACTGGTTTCTACAAACTTATAGAGAGAAGAAGCATGATTTTTTAAATGTGAAACTCTGACAGTTGTGAAGTGGACTGACAAACAAAACATTTACAGACTCTCAGCTATACGTACTAGTACTATGACAACAGTGACAAGAATAGGGGGGGATGCTAAATCTCATTTAATTGTGGACTACAATAAGTTTATGGGGGAGGGGGGTGGACCTGAATGGCCGACACCCAAGTTACAATTCTACTGGATAAAGGATAATAAAATGGTATAAACACTTTTTTTTAACTTTTAAACTTCACTGTTGTAAATGCTTACATTCTGTAAAAACAACAGACCAATCAGCTGGTATTACCCCAGAAGACTTTCAGGATGAACCTGGTCACAGCTCTTGTTGAGCCTCTACTTCAAAGCAGACCAGGTCTTCTGGTATACCACTTCCTAGAACTGTACAGGACTCATCACCTCTGAGACTAACTATTGGCAGGTATTTCCCTCTACTTGTTGACAAAGGTAAGAGAAAAAGATGTAGACTATGCCTCCCTGAAAATAAAGTAATTACAAAGTGTAAAATTGTGATAAATTTCTTTGCATGAAACACTTTGAAGAGCACTAGTGTTACTCTTCAAAAAAGTTACGACTATGTTTATGTACAAGGTAAATATATCTGCTCTTTCCCTTTGTTTACAGTTACAGTTTTTCTAAGAAAAATAACAAATCTTAGTAGCATTGTTTGTATTTGAATGTACAGCAATGTGTCAGTTTTACGTTTATTGACTGAAATACTTTTGTAAAGTTTTCTTTTATTATTCATAAACTTGTATTTACAATAGAGATGCTACCTTTCATGTGTCAAAATCAGTTTATGATATTATACTGTATATGCTATCATAAGTATGGTTTTTGTAGTTGTCTAAAATGTTTGTAATAAAATACATATCTATATAAATTTCCATTTATTCATACAGCTATTTCTGTGTACAACTTTATGCATTTGTTTTTGATTCATGCAATTTATATGTGCATTATTGCTTTTAGGTATATATATATAAACATTTGTGCATAACATTATTTCCCCGACATTTGTAAAATATTTTTCTTTAATGTCTGGGTATTAATGTTATGAATAAACCTGTTTTTAAGTTGTCAAGTTTCTAACATTGTATAATTTGTTTTTATTTTAAGTCAGTTTACACAATTAAAATAACAAATTCAGTATGTATTGGCCTACAAAATACAAATGTCTAACTATAATACAAGTATATTGCAAAATACAGTGATATTTTGGTTACCATACGTTACATGTGTGTAAACACACACACATATATATTACTATTTACTATATTATATTACTATTTACTCATATGCTTAAATTTTACTTGTTTGTTTTAAAACATAGAACAATAAATAAGAAATACACTGAAAAACAAAGATGTAGGGTACTTAGTTTTATGAAATGTTACGTTTGTGCTAAGCCTTGTTTATTCCTCCAAGTGGAGGGTGAAGAGATATTAATTTTGTAGGCTTCAAATATAAATTTTAGAAAAGCAACAAATTATCAAGTTACTGTATTAGTACACACAAAATCCCTGTAATTTATCTGGATCTCTAAATAAGCTATATATGGGTTACAAAAAACCCCATTCCTATTCAGAGAAACAACTTGGTCATCACACTTCAACAGTTTTGGCAAAATTATTACTTTCTCCTTCAAGCTATTTAAAAACATCTGTCAGATTTATGTAGAAGGGAAACTGATCTTTCTATTGGTTATAAACAAGTGAGACAAGACAAGAGGTTTCAAAAGAATGGAGTAGTGGGAGGAGCCACTCTAGTAGATTCATTGAAAATATTGCCATCTCAGCAAATCATAGAGGTGGGAGGTTCTTATTTTATATTTAGCTTGTCTATATCTCATATTTGAGTTTCTAATTCATTAGCCAATGTACACATTGTATGGTATGAATAATAAAATGTAAATCTTAACATTTTCTAATGCTGAAAAATGTATTTCTGATAGGTACTTACCTCCTTTCACCTTCAGTTGCCCTCCAAGAGTTGCTAAAATTTTTTAATAATGCACCAGTCTTTTATACCCCTGTATTTTTTGCATCATTACAGCAACATGTGGTGATCAATACATACTACACAAACTATAGTAGTGCAGGTAGTTCCCTCTACCATTGTAGCACAATTCTCACTTTCAAAAACTGGCATATACAAACCAAAAACACTGGCAAATCAATGAAGAAGAAAGGTGGGAAGAGGGTAAGCAGAGGTAAGTACCCATCAGAAATACATCCAGGGGATACGACATATTATGCCATGTGAGGTCCAAGGACAAAAATAACATAGAAGCACCTTGTATAAGTAGGCAAGATCAACAAGTGCAGTCCACCCAAGCAAAAACAGTTTTGCTTGGGCTGTGACCACACTTGGCTATCTTGATATCAATACATGGTGATTCCCCTGGATGTTTTGCTTGGTCTGTGACCACACTTGGCTATCTTGATTCCCCTGAAATCCAGGGGAAGCACCATGTATTGATATCAATATAGCTAAGTGTGGTCACAGCCCAAGCAAAACATCCAGGGGAAGCACCATGTATTGATATCAATATAGCCAAGTGTGGTCACAGCCCAAGCAAAACATCCAGGGAAAGCACCATGTATTGATATCAAGATAGCCAAGTGTGGTCACAGCCCAAGCAAAACATCTGGATGAAGTACCTTGGTATATGTTAGAGTATGTCAAGTAGGATCCAACTAGTCAGAAAACATCCAGTGGAAGCACTTTGTACAGTATTTTTTCTGTTTCATATTTTGTACATAAAAGATGTTGAGATCAACAAGTGTGGTCTGCCCAGGCAAAAACATCCAGTGGAAGTGAACTGTGATATGAAGTAGTATGATAAGTGCAGTTTATTAGGGTAGAAAACATCCAGTGGAAGTGCCTTGCTTAAGATTGAGTTTTATAAGGTATTGAGAGATCAATAAGTGCAGTCTACCCAGGCAAAAACATCCAGTGGAAATGCCTTGCATTAATAGTGTATGTCCTGATTAACAAGTGCAGTCAACCTGGGCAAAACATCTGGGAGAAGTGCCTTGGATTGATAATATAATAATAATAGTGTATAATAAGAAACATAACAATGATAACACTCTTCTCACTGAGTGAATACATATGACTGTGAGATTGTTTTATCTCACAAATCCCACTTGTGAAGAAACCGCCACGATCCACCATTCCAGTGACTGGGCACCTGAAGTAGCAAGGACCCCCATGTTCCACTAGAACAGTGTTCCCAAAGATGATTTTAGATGGTACATGGACAACTTTTTTTATTGTAACAGTTGTATGTTTATTTGAATGTGTATTAGAAAAAAATTCTATGAAAAAATAAATTAATGTGGTTATTACATTATCTTTTGACAATTAAACACTGGCTATTATTCAGTGGGCATGCTCGTCATCTGGTCCACTCATTGGCTAGCCACTATTCAGAGAGCATGCACAATGACATACCAAGAAGCATGTTCATTAGTTAGTGTTAGATGAAGATTCTCATTTTATGATTGTGTCTGCACTGTTTTATTTTTTTTTCTTTGAACCCATCATGGATCAGTGGTTAAAAAATTATACTTATTATTACTTGTAGCTCAAATTCTGAAGTTCTTTTCACTTTGTTATAACAATGTCATTATGAGATGAGAAAAATAATGTTTCGAAATGAATATTATGGTAAGTAATATTGGTTTTTCATTTATCCTACTAGTGTTGTGAAATTTCCTTTTAAAATAAATTTATTTAAATAAAAAAAGTGAGTTGATTCAAAGAAAAATATTATATAAAATAAATAATAGCACAGGTGGTACGCAGATATGGCAAAAAATCGTGAAGTGGTATGCGAATGACTGCAGTTTGGGAAGCAATGCACTAGAAGAAAGAAGGGGGGCAGATGAGTGACCCACTGAAGACAGTGCAATGGGTGTCTACGTTTACTCATTTTGAAAAGCAGAAAGACTGATTGTAAGAATCACGGGTCAGTAAGAATAGGCAAAAATCCCTATCTGCAAGATTCATGAAGTCCACGAGTGATGGTCCTCAGTATGTGTGTGTGTATAATGTTTAAAAAAAGTGATGTGTGTGTGTGTATAGTAAAACAACTGAAAGGGAAAGGTAGTTTTCTAGAAAAGCAGGTCACTGTTTCATCAAAAACCTTGAAAGCTTCCTTAGAAGCATCTTATTTGATGGGAAAAAGTACGAAGCCACACAATATAGGAGAGAC